CGTCAAAAATGGCTAGTTAAAAAGTCGAAATTTGTCTGAAGAAAAAAAAACCCACCCCGAGCACAAATATTCCGTTACTTTCTTATCGAAAGTCGGAACAATAAGTAGAAATTGAGGGCGGAGTATGAATAAACAGATTTCCCCTTGTTGCTTAACCAAATAAAATCTTAAAGTAATTAAACCTATTTATATACGCGCTTAAAGATTTGTTCAACTACTCTACTTCCCAATTTGAATGACTTATGTAATGAAAACACGGAAAAAATCTTGACAAAAAATTGCTTCAGTTGATTACATTTTTTTGTTCGCAAATATGGGAAAGTTAAAGGGGCGATTAGAATTTTGTTCTTCGACAAAATTCTTTCCAAAAGGGTCATATAATGCTTGCCTACCTATTTCATCCTTCGTACAATTCGGAAGGGAAACTAAAATCAATTTGAGAGGAAGAGCGCCAGAATATGTATAAAAAATATGGTGAAACAATTGATTTGAATGCTTAAGGAAACCAAACACTGGTCATCCAATAATCGCCCCTGCCCTTAGTAAAATGGTATGTTTATTTCGTTTTTGAGTGACTCTCCTGAAATAGGAAAGGACGAAACTCGTCGAAACTGTACGAAGCACAAAGCACTCAAATTATCAAAAATTATGCGATAGAAAAACCAAGATAACCGGTCGGTTGTTTTCTAAGTAGCACACGGTTTTCAAATTTACTTACTGGCAATTCGGAAGGGAAACTAAAATCAATTTGAGAGGAAGAGCGCCAAAATATGCATCAAAAAACAAGACTGAAACAGACTTAAAATGTTATATATATTACTAGGCCCTTTCCGATAAGTTTTTGGAGTACCTGATTTTGCGAGGATTCGGGCGGGTTTTGGCTTTTATCAAATTGATGCATTTTAAAATTTAATTCATAGCAAGACCGTGTACATACAACTGGAAACAGGCAACATCTGGGAGTTGAGAATACTTACTAGTGCAATCGACTTAATATGTATTGCTGGCCTGCCCTGCCATTCCCGAAACTCGAGCTGTTAATGATAATATCAGGCCCAAGGGAAAGAGTTCCGGTTGTCGCCTATTTCCAGTTATCCCTTTTCCCCAGTTTTAACTTGTTTAGAATTCTCCCGGTAGTATCTCATAAACAATAAAAAAAATATCATGAGTAAAACATTTTCATTCACAGCACCCATATTTTGGTTTGGCCCCCCGGGTAGGAACTTTTGGTAGTGATTTTTCACGGGAAAGGTGTTTCTGGGCCAAAAAAAGTGAGAATGAACTGTAATTATCAGGAAAAAAAATTGACCCCATTAAGTCAATTTGCGAGCCCCATGTTTGGACATTTAGGAGGCTTAATCGTCCCGTTATATCGTAAAAGTTGGGTGAAAAGCTAGGCGCACTCCTCCCCTCCTTTGAAAAATAAAGCAAGCTATATGAGTCATCTGTATTACCTCTGTCCTACAATTTAATTGAGTAGTTTTCCATTAGTTTCATTTGTGCGAAGATTTCACGGCCCATTTTTTAGACAAACGAGCACAATTTTTAGAGTTATGTGCGGATCCTTTCTTCTTCTCACATGCATATTTATTTCAATGTTGAAAAGAACTTTTTTACACTTTCAAATTGCAATGGAGCTTGGCTTGGTAAACAACTAATAACACTTGTAAGCAGGTTTGTTCCTTCAAGCTTTATATCATTATATCAGCTATTTTGCCGTAAAGTTCCCATAAACTAGCTATAAAAATAGAGTTTTTCAAGTCTGCGAGGGGTTAATGGAAAAAAAACCAATTGTGCTCATTCCCCGGTTGACCTCAATACACCGAAATTGCTAATCATACATTTCCATAAATCAAATGTACAAAAAAGTGCTTGTTATGCAATTTTCGTACAATTTCAAAAAATTATCAAAAATTATGCGATAGAAAAACCAAGATAACCGGTCGGTTGTTTTCTAAGTAGCACACGGTTTTCAAATTTACTTACTGGCAATTCGGAAGGGAAACTAAAATCAATTTGAGAGGAAGAGCGCCAAAATATGCATCAAAAAACAAGACTGAAACAGACTTAAAATGTTATATATATTACTAGGCCCTTTCCGATAAGTTTTTGGAGTACCTGATTTTGCGAGGATTCGGGCGGGTTTTGGCTTTTATCAAATTGATGCATTTTAAAATTTAATTCATAGCAAGACCGTGTACATACAACTGGAAACAGGCAACATCTGGGAGTTGAGAATACTTACTAGTGCAATCGACTTAATATGTATTGCTGGCCTGCCCTGCCATTCCCGAAACTCGAGCTGTTAATGATAATATCAGGCCCAAGGGAAAGAGTTCCGGTTGTCGCCTATTTCCAGTTATCCCTTTTCCCCAGTTTTAACTTGTTTAGAATTCTCCCGGTAGTATCTCATAAACAATAAAAAAAATATCATGAGTAAAACATTTTCATTCACAGCACCCATATTTTGGTTTGGCCCCCCGGGTAGGAACTTTTGGTAGTGATTTTTCACGGGAAAGGTGTTTCTGGGCCAAAAAAAGTGAGAATGAACTGTAATTATCAGGAAAAAAAATTGACCCCATTAAGTCAATTTGCGAGCCCCATGTTTGGACATTTAGGAGGCTTAATCGTCCCGTTATATCGTAAAAGTTGGGTGAAAAGCTAGGCGCACTCCTCCCCTCCTTTGAAAAATAAAGCAAGCTATATGAGTCATCTGTATTACCTCTGTCCTACAATTTAATTGAGTAGTTTTCCATTAGTTTCATTTGTGCGAAGATTTCACGGCCCATTTTTTAGACAAACGAGCACAATTTTTAGAGTTATGTGCGGATCCTTTCTTCTTCTCACATGCATATTTATTTCAATGTTGAAAAGAACTTTTTTACACTTTCAAATTGCAATGGAGCTTGGCTTGGTAAACAACTAATAACACTTGTAAGCAGGTTTGTTCCTTCAAGCTTTATATCATTATATCAGCTATTTTGCCGTAAAGTTCCCATAAACTAGCTATAAAAATAGAGTTTTTCAAGTCTGCGAGGGGTTAATGGAAAAAAAACCAATTGTGCTCATTCCCCGGTTGACCTCAATACACCGAAATTGCTAATCATACATTTCCATAAATCAAATGTACAAAAAAGTGCTTGTTATGCAATTTTCGTACAATTTCAAAAAATGGTTGAAAAAAGATTTAAACTAACTTTTGCGGCTGTTTGATTCTAATAAAACATTCGGGTGATGAAAAAACTAAGGTTTTCATTTTTTTAATGTGTTTATTATACAAGTCGCATACATGGAAGTTGTATGACTAGCCTTTTTTTCATGGCGACAAAGAAATTTTTTCAAGTAATTTTGAAATTGCCCCGAAAACTTTTTTGATTTTTTTCCACCGCAAGTCGAAATTTGTACTCAAACAAACAGTTTCAAAAATTTTTCTCCATGCATGTTTATTTATGGCCTTTTTTATGTATGTCTTGATCAATGTGTGATAATTCAAAAATTCAAGTTTTAAAAATAATCATCGTTGAAAAGTTTTGCCAAAATTTAAAAGTTTGTTACTTTCGTTATCTCATTTGTGAAAGACAGCTCTAAGACAATTCAGGTCGTATTCTATGCATTGTAAATTCAAGACCGTCCAGCCTTTCGTGCTTTAAGTAAACCAAGATCATTATCAGTTGCGTTCGGTTACGAACACAACCCAAAGTTTTTCAGAAATTAAATTTAGAAAAAAAATCAACTTTTTGGTTTATGGAAAAATACTTATCATACATTTTTTATATATGGAAAAATGTTTATCATAGAGATTTCATACAATTTTTTGTACGTATGGAATTGTGTGAAACTTTATGGCCAGAAGTTTTTCATATATGACAATTGTATGATAAGAAGTTTTGGTCAACCCGTGTCATCTTGTTTAAAGGAAATCTTGAGCTCAACTTCGATGGTAGCCATCGACCCCCAAGTATTGGAGGGTAATATTTATAAGACCTGTAAAAATTGAGCTCATTGAGCTCCTAAAATCTCAGCATGCTTTATGGAAAAATCAGACAAAAGTAGGAACAATTTTTGACCCGGGCCAAAAACAGATACTAGAAGTTCAGAAGCGAATATAATTCTACATGAAGCATTTTAAGGCGGCTTCTTTTTATATTTTATTCAAAAATGAAGTCTGGACAAGGTCGCCCATCAAATAAGGTGTGTGTAGCTAACTCATCAAGCTTGAATGTGACGCTAGAGAATTGAGAAAACCATTAAGGCATTCAAATTACACCAAGACTGCTATTTAGCATGAATGGAACCCAACAAAACCTTTTAAATGAATGGCTCTTGTACTTAGGCTAATTTTGTGCGTGGGTGGGGAAAGTAAGAATACAAAGAAGCAAAAAAATTTGCGACATGTATAAGCTACACAAAGACTCACATTAAAGAATTGTGAGGGCTGAAAACATATAACATGACGGAAAAGATTTTTAGAGGCAGGCAAGTCATAAGAAAGATAATTCATGAGACAGAAATGCCTGTAAGCAGAAATTTTGTCGGCCAGAAAGCCATTAGATTAAATATGATTGAAATTGATTGGCATTTCAGTGCCATATGGTTTCAGTTTTCGCTGAGTTATAAAATTCAGTTGGTTTGCGTTGATTTCTGCCCACAGACCAATCTGCCAATTGAACCGACCAGACCTATTATGAATACTTACCTTTTGGAGCCAATACGGGAGAGAGGGCCCACAAACGTAGTCTGAATTGTAAGAAAAAGCTGTAAGAACTCTACATCCAATTTATGAAAACTCCAAAGCCCTGGTTGTAAGTTTTTGGGTAAATACTTTTCAAGTGGATTCACGGGATTTTAATTTCAAAAGTTACAGTGTTTGGGGTGGGGGATTGTCACACTCTACAGGTAACATATTCAGAGGGCAAACTGAATCTGACTAACTATAATCAACCCAACGCTCGAAGAAACAGACAAGAGAATAAATTAGATACTAGACAATAGAAACTTACATCAGTTGATCGCCTCCGGTTCATGGAAGTGAATTTGGATTTGATCTCAGTGCGAACCTGAAAATAGAAAATGATTTGATAGTCTATAAGGTTTTTGGTCAAATTTAAAAAAACGCGCCAAAAATCGCATATTTAAAAAAAAACGCTCAAATCAGAGATCTTGAAAAATCAAACTGGTCGACCTAAAAAAAGGTCGAATAAATTTTTCAACACATTTTCGAAAAACCGCCCACACCCCCCCCATCCCCAACCTCTAGAAAAAACTTCTGCGCACGCCACTGGCATTGTAGAGTAAAATCGTAAATTGTTGGATTATAGAGTTACTAACCTCGCTGTTACCGAAGCAAAACACAATTGCAACCACCGATCCCTGAAACAGACAGTTTATAATGAACTCCAAACCAAATTTTTTCGGTCTCAAACGCTATTTTATAAGCATGATTACTTCTTTCACTTTTTCACTGCTCCCGGGTTGACATCCATAGACCAAAAATGCTAGTCATACAATTCCATAAACTAAGTCTATGAAAAAATACTAGTCATACAATTTTCATACATTTTGCTAAAATGGTGTCATTGAAATTTCGAACAACTTTTTTCTTGTTTTGGCATAAAATTCGGTGTATCGCACTAAATGAAAGACAAAAACTTTTTGTCAAACAAAATGCTAATCATACAATTTCCATATATGGAAAATGTATGTCTAGCATTTTTTTGATGGCGACGACAAAAATTTTTTAAAGTATTTTTGAAATTGCCCCCGAAAATTTTTTTGTGTTTTTTTTTCAACCGCAAATTGATTTTCATACTCAAACAAATATTTTTGAAAAATAAATTTTGCATGCAAAATTTAATTTTTTGTGTGTATAACGTAGTCCGGGATATAATAACATTGGTATTTTTTTCGTTTTCTTTTCATAACTTTTGTCAAAAACGCTTCAAACGCATCTTTCTTTCGTATGACATGTTTTTGTATGCCTTGATCAATGTCTCGTAATTTAAAAATTCAAATTTCAGAAATAATCATCTTTGAAAATTTTTGCCAAAATTTAAAAGTTTGTTACTTTCGTTATATTAATGTGTGAGACAGAATTAAAACATTTCAGGCTGTTTCCAATGCATTTTTAATGCGAGACGGCCAAACCTTTGGTTACTACATTTGTGGAACCAAGGTTTATGTCATTTGTGTTCGGTTACGAACACAACCAAAAAATTCTGAGAAATTAAAATGTAAAAAATCAATGCTTTTGGTTTATGGAAAAATGCTAGTCATTCAATTTCCATATATGAAAAATACTAATCATTGACTTTTCATGCAATTTTCTGTATTTATGGAATTGCATGAAAAGTGTATGATTAGCATTTTTCCATATATGAAAATTGTATTACTAGCATTTTTGGTCAACCCGGGCTGACACTTTGAAACACAATGAACTGAGAAAAATCAGTTCTCAAAGTGTTTAATTTTTCCAACTTTCGAAGAAAGTGACAGGTCAATTATGCTTGAGGGGGTTTTATTTACTATTCAGTCAAATTTGGTATATCAAAAATGTTTTATAACAAAAAATACATACCCATTGAAAACAATGACTCCATGAGTTCATTTTTAGTAAATTATTTTAGCTTCGATCTTTTGTTCAGGTGTTGTGAGCTCAAAAGTTGCCAATTTAGTCATGCGTTGGACCTAATTTTTGTCCGCTGTGATGATTTTCTTATGATGCCGAAAATTTACCGCAATTAAAAATTGCTTCATTTTGATTTGAGCTAAGCTAATTGATCGTCTTTTGAGTACTTCACTCAATCTCTGAAACTCTTAATATTTTTCAATTGCCAAATTTAGGGTGTTAAGTTTTTATAAGCAATATCTATTTGAGACCAGTTTAATGGCAGTCGGAAAATTTAGGGCTTTGCCCTGATACATGAGCAGTCCTGTTGTTCCAATTTTCGACCGTCAAAAATTGGAATAACAAGACTGCTCATATATCAGGGGCAAAGCCCTAAATTTTACGACTGCCAAAAAACACCCCAACATAAACATTCCGTTAAATTCGTGACGAATTTAACTGAATGTTTATGTTAGGGTGTTTTTTCGGCCAGACAACTTTCATTGACTTATTTTTTCTAAAGGAAAGAAATTTAAGGCATTTTCATTCGGCTATTTTTTTAAATAGCGTTTGAATGATTTTGTTACCCGGAGCTCAAAAAACACTTCTGATCTTGTTCTGTAATGAGGTTTTGAAAAGTTGCTAACTTGGCCAACTTGGAATAACATGCGGGTTAAACTGTTTCAATATAGGAAAACGCAAATCATTTTGTCTAAATTTTAGGATAGCGTGTGGGCGGATAAAACACAGAACAAAATTTATTTATTTTTTCGATTTTTTTTATAAATTTTTCAAATTCAATTTTAATTGGCCACGAAGGGCATTAGGAAAATTGAGAGCTTCACACAGATATAGGAGTTGTCTTTTTGTTCCGACTTTCGATACGGAAGTGACGGAATATTTGTGCTCGGGTGGGTTTTTTTTCTTCAGAGACAAAATTCGACTTTTTACCTAGCCATTTTTGACGGAAAATTTTAATATCATTCAAAAGCTATTGTTATCCTGAGCTTAAATTTGAAAAGATATTTCACCTGTGATCTTTTTTCGTAAAGTTACGGGGGTTTAAAGATTGCAATTTTGGCCAATTTGGGACAATTAACGCGCGATTCATTTCGCGCTATTAACGCGTAAGCGGAGATTTAATCCGTCTTAAAAATTGTTCCAAATTGGTTGAAAGAAGCTTTTTCGCCATAATTGATTTGTTCCAAGGAGCGAAACCTATCCGTTTGTACTTAATATGGCGTGTGGGGGATGATTTTCATTAAAAAAATTTCAAAGTTTAGAAAAAAAAATTCATGTCTTTTATATTTAATTTTTTTATGTTACTACTGCTCGATAAACCTGAAAAGGCAGTCGGAACATTCAGGGCTTTGCCCTGATACGAGCAGTCTTGTTGTTCCGACTTTCGATACGAAAGTAACGGAATATTTGTGCTCCGGGTGGGTTTTTTTTTCTTCAGACAAATTTCGACTTTTTACCTAGCCATTTTTGACGAAATTTTTTAAAATCATTCAAAAAGTATTGTTGTCCTGAGCTTAAATTTGAAAAAATATTTCACCTGTGATCATTTTTTGTAAATTTATGAGGGTTTAAAGATTGCCATTTTGGCCAATTTGGGACAATTAACGCGCGATAAATTTCGCGCTATTAACGCGTAAGCGGAGATTTAATCATTCTTAGAAATCGTTCCAAATTGGTTAAAAGAAGCTTATTCGCCATAATTGATTTGTTCCAAGGAGCGAAACTTATCCGTTTTTATGGCGTGTTAATATGGCGTGTGGGGGATGATTTTCATAAAAATTTTAGAAGAAAAAAAAGTTTTCATTTTATTTTTTTACCATTAATTTTTTTTATAGGTTATTACTGCTCCATGAACATTAAAAGGCAGTCGGAACATTCAGGGCTTCGCCCTGATACGAGCAGTCTTGTTGTAAGTTGTACTCGCATACATTGAATTTTATGGAGCTTCAATTGATCAAAAGTTCCATTGTTGAAATGAAATGAATTTGAGAATTCTACGATTCCCAGAGGAGATCCACTAAAAGCTATCAAGTCTGTCTAAACCGTTTCCTCTGTTTCCCCATAGCCCAGACTAAGTTATTTGTTAAACGGAGCTATTTATTGTGAATCATGGCCGTTTTTTTGCGTCTGGAACTTTCACGTGTCACACCACTATTATAACCGAAAGGAATGTTTCAAACACAGCATAAAACAACAACCAACTTCTCTGCCATAAAGGTTTTATCATTAAACAACGTGTCATTTTGATGGAATGAATTATAATGAGGTGCTATCTTTGTTTAAATGTTTCTGATCGAAAGTCGATGAGTTTAAAATAGGCCATTAAAGCTGCTTGATACAAAAACAATGCACGGATCTAAGACTTTTATGATTTTTTGGCCTTTGTTTGTTGTTTGTTGACATTTTTCAGACTACTCCCAAAAAATCTTCCTGAAAAAGAATCTAGCAACGTCGATTGAACGTATTCAATAAAAAACGTGCCTTTCACCTAAATTACGAGACGTTAGAAGGCGTTTTTAGAAAATATTTTAATGCTAAGATATTAAGGAACAGCTTGGATGGTGATTTGGTCAAATTTCCCGGCGTCGACGGTGGCTGGGAAGTATTGTGAATGCAAGGGTGTAGGCGGAATAGGAATGACAGACATTGCGTCATCCGGGTTGATCTACAGCGAGCGATTATGACCTAGAATGACCTTGAAGGATCCAGATGGACATAGAACAATTGTTAATGACCTTGGATGACCTGTGGTGACATATAGTGAATTGGATTGACTTCTAGTTTAACTAACTTGGAATGACTGGAGGAGTGCCTGGACTACTCCTAGGACAATGTGTGCATTGGATCCCTCTCTGGGCATCCACAGAGTCACAATGGTATGCACTCCAAACAGAGGAGACAGAAAGATGATGGCCTTCGCGCTCTTGCTGAAACGCAATCGCCAAAAACGAGCGTCAAACTGACTTTTAACAGTATAAATGCATCTCAAATATTCTAAGAGATAATCAGTGAGCTAAAAGGGCAGTAAAATGAAAAATTTGAGAAGGATAGTTGAAACTTCAGTTTGTACTTTTTCTAAAAATTCATATATACTATCAAATGTTTTCACAAAATGTGATTTGACATGTCTTTTTTGGGAACTGTCAGTTATTTTTTTCGTCATCATAAAAATAAAAGTATACCTTATTTTTGTCCATAATCCCAATTTTTTAGTATAGCCTATGTTAGGACTGTGGCGTATCCATTTGATTTCAAAAGAATACAAGTATTTATGTTTCTTTATACTCACATGGCCACATCTTGGCTGGGAACATTGGCGGCGGATGCGTTGATTTTGGGAATGAGTACTCGGAGGACACTGATGAGCAACACCAGGTTGATGGCAATGCACAACATCAGAGGCACCTCTACTCCCCAGCTGAACGTCTCCCCATACTCCGAAATCCAGCACCTGTCAATCAAATAGCTGTTAAATCTTTTCATATCCTAAAGAGTTCACAAGTTTTCAGACAATTTTCACATCAAGATCATCAATAAGCTAATGATACCAAACTGTGTGATATCTCATAAATATGAAATAAGATCAACCTTCGGGCTAAAATTATCAACGAAGCATTTTGCTAAGAATTCTACTGAGACAAGAGGAATGTTCAGCAATCGAGCTACTCAACTTTTATAGAAAACCATTTTAGCGCCCTAATACAAATACATACTATCTATGTGTAATATGTTGGTACTTTTCAGGTCTTCAAAAATGATGTCCCTTACTTTCACCACACAGCGCTGATCTTAGTGGTCCTCAAACTTACGGTGTTTCAACTAAGAGGCAGAGACATAAGTCACTTCAACTTTACTCAATCAATTAAATTAAGGCGGGTCAGATTCACTGGAGTATTCTCAAAGATTATTTGAAGACATTGGAAATTCAGCGTTTTTTGAATGGTGATTTCTAGACGGGGGTAGATCTAAGATTTTTTCAAGGGGGCGGACTTTCTCAAGGGGTGAGGGGGCGGACTTTCAAAGACCCTTTTTTTAGGTCGGCGACTATAACGATATTCCGGCGAGCTCTCCTAAATCACTCTAAAAACCCTATTTTTACCAAACTTCCTGTGTCGCAGGCAATTTTTGAAGAAAAAAAAACAAAAACCAAAAATGTCGTTTTTGGGCTTTTTTGGAATTGTTGACCAAAAAATCGCGTTTTTTTTGGCGCGCGCTCCCCTTCAAAATTAGTATATATTAGCGCCGGAAGCGCCAAATTTTAGGCGCTTCTCACCCCTAAATTTGCCCGTTTCTAGATGTTTCTCGTAATCTACCGAATTTACAATGAATCAGGGGCGGATCTAGATTTTTTCGGGGGAGGGGTGGGTTGTAAAAAAATTGGAGATATGAGTCGACCTTTATTCATTAAAAAAAATTACAGTCGGGTGAGAAGGTTGAATCCCCGGGGGAAGGAGCACCACCTCATGCAAGTAAACCCTCCTCTGCATTAAACCCATTTATTGGATTTTGACGTACAGATAAAATTTGAATGTTTGGCCAGCCCGTAAGCGTCAACAAGTGTTATGTCTTGTCTTACTCACACTTTGCTCTTGCCCAGAATGAGATTCGTGATGACGTAGACAGTCACCACCATCACGGGAGCTCCTTAAATAGAAAAACCGTATACAACAACCATTTAAGTAGGACCATTTCCCGTTTAATAAGGAAAAAATTTATTATCCACCAAGCAAGGAATCAACATAAGAGCTTCCCATCACTTTACGGAGGAACGCTGTTGGTGACCTCAACATTTGAAACACTTTTAGGTTTGCAAAGGCTTTGAATGCAAGCTTTTGAAAAATAATCCTCAACTTTTTGTTTTCTTGCATCAAAACCTAATCTTAAAAGGTGTTATTGTAATTGTATATAACAAAAAACCATCCTTTTCTTTCATTTTGAATAACCTTTTTCGTGAATGTGGTGTGAACAAACTATTTCTTACAGAAACTCACTTTAAGTTTTTGAAAATTTAATTTTGAAATAAAAAAGACTGCTCAAATCAATTCAAAGCCCTGAATGTTCAGACACCTTTTTATGGCTCATGAATTAGTTTTTGATAAAACTTTTTTGAAAACTAAAAAATGATATTTTTCAAGAAAAAAAAATTTAAAATAAATTATTTTTTCAGATTTATTTTTTAAAGTTTTCACCCCACACGCTATATTTATTTTAAAAAACATGTTGGGCTATATTCATTTTGTAACGTGTTAAAAGCTCAAACAAGACTGCTCGTATATCAGAGCAAAACCACGAATGTTCCGACTGTCCCTTAATTGGTAAAGAAAATTTTTTGGTAAGGAGTAAATTAAAAAACCTTTAACAATATAAAAACTCAAGAAAAAAATTAGAGTAGTTTGAATTTATACGAATGATTAGCTTGCAAAAAATCAATTTTAATTATTTTTGTAGCGTGTGTTGATGATACATTGAGCGCATAAGTATATCGCGCGCATTACGCATTAAGCAATAAAAAATTTTAAGCGCTTGGCCAAATTGGAACATTTTGAACCCCTTGAACTTAAAATAATTTTAAAATGGTCTGAAAAAAAAACCAGGAAGTCGATATCTTCCATGAGGTACTAAAACTTTTTGGTGAAAATTTTTCAAACACCTTTTTTGACAGAATAACCACCACCAAGCACAAACATTCACAGAAAGATGTTACATAAAATTTCAATTAAAAAATAATTAGGTGAAAAAAAATATTTTTTGTTGAAATTTGGAACAATAAAGAACGATAGGTAATAACTGCGTCAATAGCACAAGTTTTTTGGACCATAGTTTTTTTGGAGCACACTAAATTAAGAAAAATTATTTTTTTGGTCAATATTTTTTGTTAAAGGACGACTGATGTTAAAGAAAAATTGAACTTCCCTGTAAAATTTTAACGTTCAATTACGGCTAAAAAGCAAACGCAATTTTGGCCAAATCAAATGCAATTTCAGTCTCTCAATTTTTGCTTAGTTCCAATTTTACTCTAAAATCGTTTTTGGCATCCGAACCATGGCTGAAAAGGCTTTACTCTACTGACAAACGGGAACTATCTACGAGTTTTTCTTCTGCACAGGGTGATCTATAAACATTTTTTTCAAATCGTCTTTATTTTGCTAAGCCTCGGGTTTTTGATGTTATTGTTTTTGCAGTAGGTAGCAATAATTTTGATACATTTCGTTGAAAAGAATTGTTCTTTGATCAATTAGAATTTTGCGGTTTAATGGATTTTCGCTGATTTTTGAGGTGAACAAACAAAATAGCTCTAATACAAAATAACTGGAAACATGAACTAAAACTAAGTTTTCTAACTCGTTTCTCTCAATTTCGGTTAAATTGGTACTAAAAATGGCAAGGACAAAAATTGTTCGAAAATAAACCAGCAATTTCTAGTTCATTTTTTTCGCGAAACTTTAAACTAAAATTACACGCGTAAAACGGGTCCCTTAATTCATTTGGTTCATTAATCCCTTTATTCATTACATGCTTAATTCATTTAGTTTAAATCTAACGAGGCTAGCAGGCTCAATTGATGTAAGAACAACTAGAATTCAGACTTTTGGTTACCATAGTTTTCTACCAAACAATTTGACCCGTTATATGGCTGCATCTTTAATTTGAAATTAACCAGAAAATGCTGGTTAAAATGAAAACAATTTTTGACCTCGCCATTTTTAGTCTGAAAATTGAGTTTGAAAAATGAGGAAATTGAGTTTGAAAAATTAGTTGAGATCAACTTATCTGATTATTTAGGTCAGTTCTATTGAAGTAGTAATTTTTTTTACTTCGAAAAGCAGTGAAAATTCAATAAATTGCGAAGGTATGCATAAACAAAAAGCAATCAAACTCAAGGAAGAATATCATCAGTTTGGCAACTTTTTCGACATGAACTGTTTTCTTCAATAAACCAGATATTTGTAAAATGAGAGAGAATAAATAAAAAACTGGTTTTGACAACACCCTGTATTTAAAATTGGGCGGGAAATTCACTAGTTAATCCATTATTTCTAACGTCTTTTTCAAGAAGAAAAAAAAATCCGGTTGAAAAAGAACAAAAATATGCCCAAATTTTTTTTTCTTGTTTTTGTAACTTCGCAACATTTTCTTAATTTTTCATCCGCTCTTCGTTTTTGCTCTACATTAGAGCTGAAATCGCCTTATCTTTATTAAGAAACTACTCGAAAAAATGCTCCTTCCCTTATTTTCTCGGAAAGCTGAAGATAAAAAAGACAACTTTTCACACCCTGTCTTTGAATGGGATTCAAACTCTTTGTCATTGTTCAGACTCAATTATGAAAATGAAAATTAAAAAAAACTGCAAATAGGAGTAACAAAAGAAGGCGAAGCCTTTAATTTTGAGAAGCCCAACACTTCGGCCTTGTTTTCAGGCATTAAAAATGCTGTACTTAAACATACCCCATCCCAGTACAATGAATGGGCCAACTCTCTCGTTATGTCCGAACACATTAGTCACCACTGTCCGGTGCAAGAAGCCAGCCTCACACAACATCCAGAAATAGGTAGTCTGGAAACAGTACTGCACTACCACGTGGGTCAGGTTACATAACAGAGTGTCTGTTAGCAGTGTATCCATTAGCACAGTTTGCAGAAAGTAGTTGAAGCAGAAAAGAGCAATTGAGCCGAAAAAGTTCATGTGGATCACGTTGCGGGGACAGTGAAGCTTTCTGAAATAACAATGGGCGATATGAAGTCAAAATTTTGGTAGTTAAACTCGACAAATGAAAGGCAAAATTAATGACTTTTCTTTTTCGACTAATTAATACTGTGCTTCGAAGCAGAGTTTATCGAACATAATGAATTTCTTCAAAGTTAATCAATTTGAGCTATTTTTGCTGTCAAAAATTCATGGTATCAAACAGAATCGCTGGTTTTTAGTACAATTGCTTGTTCTCTAATGCCAATCCAGATTTTAAGACTTAAAAAATTTAGAGAAAACTTAAAAATCAGAAATTTCAATTTGATGAAGCTTACTTGAAGACAGCGAATATGATGAAAGCTGTGAGAGTGAATGCAAAGGAGAGCAGGTGGCCCACGTAGTAGATCACCTGGATCAGCTGGTACTTCTGAAATGAATCACCTGTTTTCTTTAATTTGGCATTTTTTGATCCAGATAAGTATGTTAGCAGATACATAATTTCACAACATATAATTTCACCAAAGTTTATCATTCTGCGTTTAGCTCGTTTATCTAAAGCATAAATAGACTTAAAATTTTTGTTTTTTTTGCACCGCTTGATTTTTGTTATTATTATTTTTTTAGTTTTTGCAAAATGACAGAGAGATGATACAGAAAAATGACAGAGAGAAAAAACGTTGTTATGGAAGACCCTTATGCCAGAAGGACCGAATACTCGAAAGTTTTTTTTACCATGTTTCAGTTTTCGATGATCAAAAAAGTAAACGTACAAATTATAAAAGTATCAAAACACATAAAGTACGCCGTCGCTCAGTTGTTAATTACAGCGCATTCAGTCTTTTTTTTCATTTTTCATGAAAAATCATAACCCCACCCCCCAGCAACCACCCCCCCCCCCTTCGCGCTCCTCTGTTACATATGCTATGGGGGTTGCTTGTTACTAACATTAGTGTGTATGGCCTGTTCGCAGAGAGAGTAGTCGGACCAGATGAGTCCAGGGTAATCTGGGTGGGACGCCCACACAGGAACCCCCTCTCCTTCTCCTTGTCCATCCCATTTTTCTCCCATTACACATGCGTGAGTGCCAAATTTGCCTAAAGAGAAACTTTGACTTAAGAAAATTGTACGAAGTGAAGTTGATACTTTCGTTACGCCTCTTTATGTTCAGTGAAAATAAGTTGTATGAAAATTCGGAACTGACTAATTTGATGGATTGATGACTTGAAAAATCAAGCCAAATTTTAGTTGTCCAAAAAGCTTAGATTATAACAAAAATCAATTGAAATCTTTGCCATGTTTAGCATCTTGGTATCTTCCGGATTATTTAATTCAGTGGTTTCTGATCAGTTTTATACCAAAGTTTTGTGAGCTTTGTCTACGCTTTTTGTGTGCCCGCAGGCAGCCTCAAGCTTTAAAAGTGGTCTACGCATTATAACAGTTTTTTAAAATTTAGAACACATCAAGTGAAATTGATTATCTTTTTTATCATAATTAATTTTGATCAATGTTATAACGTTTTAATTAATTATATTGATCAATCGAAGTTTTCTGTTTTTGTTTCATTTGTTTTTCAATATACAATTTTGATCGATTATAACCAATTATTTTAAAACCGTTTTCAGTTTTTGTCATGAAATTTAACCCAATGCAGTTATTTATAACCTTTTTTATTCGATTATAAACCATTTTAATTGTTGTTCCGACTTTCGATACGAAAGTAACGGAATATTTGTGCTCGGGGTGGGTTTTTTTTTTCTTCAGACAAATTTCGACTTTTTAAATAGCCATTTTTGACGAGATTTTTTTTTATCATTCAAAAGGTATTGTTATCCTGAGCTCAAAATTGAAAAGATATTTCACCTGTGATCATTTTTCGTAAAGTTACGGGGGTTTAAAGATTGCCATTTTGGCTAATTTGGGACAATTAACGCGCGATATATTTCGCGCTATTAACGCGTAAGCGGAGAGTTATTCGTCTTAGAAATCGTTCCAAATTGGTTAAAAGAAGCTTATTTGCCATTATTGGTTTGTTACAAGGAGCAAAATCTATCCTTTTGTACTTTATATGGCGTGTGGGGGGATGATTTTCATTTAAAAAAAATTCAAATTTTAGATTAAAAAATTTCATTTTTTTTATTTCATTGAATTTTTTAATGTTATTACTGCTCCATAAACCTTAAAAGGCAGTCGGAACATTCAGGGCTTCGCCCTGTTACGAGCAGTCTTGTTCAATTTGTCATCGAATTGTCAACTAAATTGCTGATAAATTATGCTTTTCATAGACGCTTGCCTATTGCAAATTCTGGAGTACAGTTTTCAAATCAATTCAATTTTATAGCAGTTTTTCTTCATTTTTTTCTCGATAAAATTTTGCTCATGATTTTGTTTTTTTTTACCCTATCAAATATGAGCATACGACTTCAGATGAGTTAATTTCTACTTGTGAACTAAAAGAGGGCAATTGATTTCGAGTTTAGAGACTTCCTTATTGAAAGCAATTTAATAACCCAGTATAAAAATTTTGTCCCGTGATAGCATTCTGGCCAAACAAGAGGTTACAATTAACCTTAAGAGTTTTTTTGTAGGAACTATAATCAATTATAATTGATTATCAATATTTTGGCGTTTTGGATAATTACCACATTATATTCGATTATCAATCCGTTGAATGCGTTGAATTAGTAATCAACATAATCCTAAGAACTAGATAACAATCAGTTATAAATGATTACTCAAATTTAGTTTTTTTTTGGGATGTATCAATAGTTTGAGATTAGTCAGCAATTGGTTATCTTCAGTGTTAAATATGCTATATTTTGTTTAAAAAGGGCTATTGCGATTGATTTTGATACAAGGAAATATTACAATCCGAATGTAAAATGTTTCAGGAGTAGTTAAGCGAGCTCTGCAGCCAACAATAAGCACCACCATAAATGGAAAACAAACAAGACTGCTCGTTTCAGGGCGAAGCCCTGAATGTTCTGACTGCCTTTTAATAATTATGGAGCAGCAGTAATAACATAAAGAATTAAAAGAAATAAAATGAATTGAAAATTTTTTTTCTAAAATTTGAAAGTTTTTTATGAAAATCATTCCCCCACACGCCATATAAAGTACAAAAAGACAGATTTCGTTCCTTGTAACAAATCAGTTTGGGCACATAAGCTTCGTTCAACAAATATGGAACAATTTATAAGACGGATTAAATCTCCGCTTACGCGTTAATAGCGCGAATTATATCGCGCGTTAATTGTCCCAAATTGGTCAAAATGGCCAAAATGGCAATCTTTAAACCCTCATAACTTAACAAAAAATGATCACAGGTAAAATATCTTTTCAAATTTAAGAATTTAAGCTCAGGATAACAATACCTTTTGAATGATAAAAAAAAATCTCGTCAAAAATGGCTATTTAAAAAGTCGAAATTTGTCTGAAGAAAAAAAAAACCCACCCCGAGCACAAATATTCCGCTACTTTCGTATCGAAAGTCGGAACAATAATTTTGAACAGGTATGCTGTTTTAGATCAAAATGTCTGTTAAAATTTTTTTGTCTCTAACATACTTTGAGTTAGGCTGTTTTTAATTTTCATAACATGATTGTTTGTAAAAAAAAAGTCCAATCAATAGGAAGAAAAACATTTTTTTGAAAGAAGTTTCAGCATTTAATTACTCTGATTACCTTAGTTTTGTGGAAGAAACTTTAGCATTTGATTAAAATAAGAGCAACCGAATTTTTTGCAATTTTTTGATTGTGCGAAAAACGATTTCTTCAATCCCTTACTTGAAAACCTAGTGATCATTTTGATTCCGGCGTTTTTTTTTCCGGAAAAACTGTAGATGATGAATCAAATATCTGATTAAGAGTTTGTGATACAATTTAAATAAAATTTTTTGGAAAGAATTGATATGTAATCAACTGTTTTTATGAAGGAAATAGTACGCAACGCCTTTTTGTAAGCTATCCATTTTTAGTTTAGGTTTTCGTGCGACTTGCATCCATAGACCGAAAGAAAACACTGGCACTAATTAAATCAATGGCACTTAGGAAATTTGGATCAGGGAACAATTTAGAGAGCGATTTAAACCTCCACTATGATGAGCTATTCTGCGGCATCAATTTTTAGATGATCAATTAGGTTAACATTTGAATTTGTTCGTAAGGAAAATATATTATCTCCTGATTTCAAGTTTTGCTTGCTTCTGCATGTTTTTTCAAAATTCATCAATTTCGATTTTCCGGAATTAAAATTCAGTTCAAAAGCTCTGCACCAGTCATCTACTTTCAAAAGCTTACTTTGAATTTTAGCTTTTATGAATGTTTAAGAGTTTCAACCTATCATAAGTGTATTTATATAAACTTTTATCATATATAAACTGCAAAAGCTTTCACACAAAAGAGAAACAATAAAGTCTCTGATACTGAGCCTGACAGCTTGTAATTTTTAAAACTGGAAATATTGGATATTTTGAACATACATTTTTGTTCCGACTTTCGATACGAAAGTAACGGAATAATTGTGCTCGGGATGGGGTTTTTTTCTTCAGACAAATTTCGACTACTTAACTAGCCATTTTGACGATTTTTTTTATATCATTCGAATGCTATTGTTGTCCTGAGCTCAAATTTGAAAAATTATTTTACCGGTGATCATTTTTCGTAAAGTTATGGTTGTTTAAAGATTGTCATTTTGGCCAATTTGAGACAATTAACGCGCGATATATTTCGCACTATTAACGCGTAAGCGGAGAGTTAATCCGTCTTAGAAATCGTTTCAAATTGGTTAAAAGAAGCTTATTTGCCATAAATGGTTTGTTACAAGGAGCAAAATAAATCCTTTTGTACTTTGTATGGCGTGTGGGGGGATGATTTTCATAAAAAATTTCAAATTTTAGAAATTTTTTTTTTGATTTTGTTTTATTTCATTGAATTTTTTAATGTTATTACTGCTCCATAAATCTTAAAAGGCAGTCGGAAAATTCAGGGCTTTGCCCTGATACGAGCAGTCTTGTGTATCTTTAGCATGTCGTTTAATTACTGTAAGGGAGGCGCAAATAGGGGATGGGAGGTTGAACTGTAAAAATTTACTGTTTTTTTGTGTTGTGCGACAAATTATTGCATATATTGAACTGTCACAATTTTTTCAAAAATCTGACTTAAATTTCTTTGAGAGGCTCTTTTTTTCTGAAAGGCTATTGCACTTCTAAGTGTTTCTTGTTTCTTTTTATGTTAGTGCAGCCTCGCTAAAAAATGTGCTTCTAGGTGATAGGGCTTATAGTCTCTCGTTCGCAACGCAATACATTTTCCCAGCTAGCGACATTATAACCTATAAGGTTTATTTGCATTCTTCCATTTTTGATTACAAACATCATATACTGAAAGATCCGATAGTGCAGCCGTCCAAAACCTAAACAATAGTTGGCTAATAACATGACTTCATGAATCCCATAATTACAAAAAAAGATCAGCCAGCTAGCTGTTGTTGTTCCGATTTTTGATACGAAAGTAACGGAATATTTGTGGGTTTTTTTTCTTCAGACAAATTTCGACTTTTTAACTAGTCATTTTTGACGGAATTTTTTTATATCATTCGAAAGCCATTGTTGTCCTGAGCTTAAATTTGAAAAGATATTTTACCTGTGATCTTTTTTCGTAAAGCTATGAGGGTTCAAAGATTGCCATTTTGACCAATTTGGGACAATTAACGCTCGATATAATTCGCGCTATTAACGCGTAAGCGGAGATTTAATCCCTCTTATAAATGGTTCCAAATTGGTTGAACGAAGCTTATTTGCCATAATTGATTTGTTACAAGGAACGAAATCTATCTTTTTGTACTTTATATGGCGTGTGGGGGGATGATTTTCATAAAAAGTTTCAAATTTTGGAAAAAAAAAATTCATTTTATTTTATTTCATTTAATTTTTTATGTTATTACTGCTGCTCCATAAACCTTAAAAGGCAGTCGGAACATTCAGGGCTTCGCCCTGATACGAGCAGTATTGTTTGTTTTTGGAATTAGTTCCTTAACAAATTACCAAAATTACCACCGAAGTCTGAAATTTGCTGTATCTTGGCAACAAAATCATGATGAACAGTTTCGAAAGCTTTCTTTGGATATACAAAGGTCATAGCCGTATTGTTTTTCTCAATTAATTTTCAAATTCTTGAGTTGTTTTTGTGAAAGCATGGATACATGGGTGTTTTTTTCTGAAAAAAAAACAAATTCCTCGGAAAATATTGATTTGTTTTTAGTCAAAAAGGATAGCGTTTGTTTGTAGACTAATCGTCTCATAAATTTATAGAAAATTGTTAATGAGCTGATAGGTCAATAGTTGTAAGCTTTGTCCAATTCTGAGTCATAAAAACTACGAATTTAACTACGGGTAGCTGATTTTACCTTGCTTTTTAATTGCCGAAAAGTTTTGCAAGTTTTTTTTCTGTTGGATAGACAATCATAATTTTGCGAGCAATATCTAGCTTTCGACTGACATTAATCACTTTTTTTGTTTACCAACTTTTTTCTCAATACAATTCAAAAGGGGGAATTTTAGTTACAAAATACAAATTTCACGTATCCTTGAATGTTGAATTGTTCATTACAAGAGTGCAAATTTTTTATCAGGTACTATAGGGGGAACACAGATAACAAGATCCAATATGCTCCCTGTTAAACTTAAAAGATTTAATAAGTTTTTCTATCTGAAAGTCTTTGATTGTGAAATTAATACTCCTCCTAAAATTGTTGTATTATATATCATATAGATTTGGTTTATTCAAAAATTTGAATCCATTTTGTACGAACGAGAGTTATAGTTTTTTGTTACAAAAAGCATAACCTATTTAGCCCTCGATGTTCAAATTCAAAATAATAAGAATTCGATAAAATTTACATAATATATATATATATATATATATATATATATATATATATATATATATATATTCGAGTTGTCGTATTTCAATTTCAACGATTCAAGACAAAGGGCCCTTTACTACAAAAAACTAGTATTTGTTATAAAACTTGATGCTGTTCTACAAACTACTAATTGAAGCAGCTTTTTTAATCATCTAATGACCGCTGACAATAGACCATTTATGGCGCAAAAGTACAAGTCTCGTTTAAGCTATTTTGAACTAGTTTTCTTTCAATGTATGAAACAAATAGATTGGCTTAGCTAATTTAAGAAACTATTTTAAAAATTTAACTCAGCTAAATGATGAAACTAGATTAAAAACGCAAGATACCATTTTTAAGACTACCAGTAATTGCTGACTTTCGACCTTTTGACAATTGCTTTTCAGCAAACCAGATAAAAATACGTATTTTAGCTTTTTTGAATAACGATATAAAATTAGAATTATTCATTCCATTCTATCGGATCTGATTATGACAGAAAACCAATGAACATTTAATTTAAAAACTCAAAAAAGCTTGGTTACATATTGCAAACATAGTCTAGTACCCGGATTACATATAACCAGGGATAAACCTTGGACTTCTTGCCAAGAACTTAGCCTAGGGCAATTCTGGATTTTTTGACAAGAGACAAGTCTACGATTAATTTTTAAGCTTCAAATCTTATCTTAGCTAATTCAAGGAAAAATTGTAGCGTCTGATCGATTAAGATTAAAATTAAAAACCCTGGAAAGCAGTTTGAGAAAACTAGAAACATAGGTATACTTCATATTCCGCTCGGAAAACTGAAGAAAACATCAATTTTCCAAAATATAAATAAATCACGTTTTTTGTGGCCTTTAAATTTTTGCTGCCAGCTAGTGGAGTTTGTCTTTCTTTTAATGTAGGCGAAAAATTGAACTTAAAAAAGATATCCAACGTCAAACCGTGAACAAGAACAGTCAAGTAGGGTGCAAGTAGCGCAGAATGTTTCCAATTTAGTGGTTTTTTCTGTGTAGTGCGATAAAAGGATCTGACTTAGAACTTTAATTTAGGCATATTTTTCAGTCATAGCAAAATAAGCAAACAGGACAAAACACTTTGAAGAAAAATGACTAGGAAAACAAAAAATCTTTAAAAATCAAAAAGATTTTTTTTTAAATTTTTTGAAGAAATTTTTTGAATTTTCAACTATTTGCTGGTACTGAAAAGCTGGTGTTGATGGTATTGATGGTATTGAAAATGGCATTGAAAAGCTAACTTACTCGATTAAAAATAAAATTAACCATGAATGAGTTATTATAAACGGCCTAAATAAAGCATACATATGAGTGCTCGCTCGTTTTACTCGCTCGAATTTAGAATAAGAATCAAACTTTCAAACCTTTTTTTCTTGATTGTGGGAAAAAATTTTGTATTTTTAGACTGTCATTCAAATTAACACTGAAATAACTTTAATATGATATACAACCCAATTCTTTAGGACTCAAATAATCTATCATGGGACGCCATCTGACCACTTTGATCTTGACACTGTGTGTAGGCGGACGAATTTGAAAAAAAACTTCTTCTAAATAGTTTCTCTGACCACTTTTTAAACTAAAATTGGATGTTTTTACCTAAAGGACTAAAATTGATCTATCTCAGAACATAATAAAAATTACGTTCACTTGATTGATTGAAGTCACATCAAAATAAAAAGGACAGTTGGGCTTGCGATTAATTTGTAATGCGGAGACAGAACATTATTTTGAGCCGGGCAGTACAAAAACCAAAAGCTACTTCAGAGACGCTGAACGGCATTCAGATAATTAATTATTTTAGACAATAACTAATTATTTCAGGACCTTATATGAACCTTTTGAAACAAACCGCAAGTTCCAAATTGATTTAATTATAAAAGCGACTCAAGCAGCTTGACTCAATTAGCGACCTCACATAATTTGCGATCAAACACGAGTTGAAATAAGAGTCAATGAACTTAGAATCACCCTAGAGGTCAATTTAAAAACGTTAAGTTATAAGTTCATTGGCTCTTGTTTCAACTCGTATATTTTTGTATACTAAATATCTTTTTTGAACTAAAAGCATTAAAACTATTAGCATATTAACGTCTGAAATGGCCGTGCGTCAAACAATATTAAGTAAACTACTGTTATGCCTCGAGGTTATCGTCAATAGATACACTATTCAAGAAGAACTTTCGGCCTGATGGTACTCACTCTGGTCATAGAAGGGAATGCTTGGACATGGTATTGCTTGCGTGGTGTTGACTCTAGTCGCTGGCCAGCAACCCACTCCGTCGAAGAGAACTGGGCAGAATAAACTGGCGTCTGAAACAAGAATCAAACATGTCACTTCTGTTCATAAAAAAGGAAACTCTTTCAACTTTTATCAATTTCAATTGAAAAGAAATTCGGGATCAAGTTAACATCCTCCCCCCCAAATAGACCAAGTTAAGATCCTCCTCCCCAGCGCTTAATATAAATTGCTGCATGTAAAATGCTCGATTCTGATTGGCTAAGAAATCCCAACTTAGAACCAAGTTTAAATCCTCCCCCCCAAACGGTTTTTTTGGGGGAGGGGGGGGGGGTGGATGTTAACTTTTGGTTTTTTAGAAAGTGTAGAAAAATTAGCCATTGATAGTGGACTTGAAAAAATGCTGGGTTTTGAGCAGGCCGCTATTCAAACGGTTCAGACAATTTTATAGAATCAAAGCTGTCGGTACATTTCTTTCGACAATCACAAACTACATATAGAAAATTGGGAAGCTCGGGAAAAAAAGGCACACAACACAAGCCACAAGTTTTAATCTGCACTTGAAAAAAAGAAGACCGAGTAAATTCAAACAAAAAAATAGTCGAGTAAATTAAAACAATTTCTGACTTCGCCATAAAATAGTAGAAAAATGCAGAAAATGACAAGCTCTGCATTTAGTTTGGATCCAATTACAGAAACAATTTCGTCCCTAATCGCAAGTCATAAGATCAAGAAATTCTGTGGAATGCTAGCATTATGGCATAGAGTTTTATTTCAGTGGATGGCAGCCAAGTATAAGGAAAAAAAATGCAAATTTGTAAAAAGAGGCTTCCTTTCAAAAACTCAATCTTCTTAACACCTCGAGTGGGTGACAAATTACAAAAAAGAAAAACACTGGGTTCTAAACAAAGGAGTGCAGAAAATTGTGCGTGATTACGAAGACAAAACTGAAATAAAAAAAATATGAAAAAACAAGAATTAATTTTGTCGCACAAAAAAATGACTATTTTTTTGCGATATGGTAATTTTAAGCCAGTTCGGTCAAATAATAATTTTATGTATTTTTGAATTAACTTTTGTCGTCATCTTTTTTGAGAAAAGATATCTTCTGGCAGCCTCCAGACGCACTGATTTGACCCGCATCTGAAAAATGCTGTAAATAGCAGTTTAATCCTGGAACGATCACTTATTTGACGGGACACTATGTCGGGACTAGGGGTTGGCAAACTCTTTGGATTTGGGTTTTATGCCGACAAATCAAAAAAACTGACCATTTTTAGATGGGTAATAAAATTGAAAAAATTACCGCAAAATGATTAGTAGTCAGTTAAAATTTATTTTGGATCAGCTTTAGGTCACAACCAATAAATATGAAGTAAATTCAACCAAAAATCTATTAATTGCAAAATTTTTACCAAGATCAAATTCAAATTTCGAAAAATCTAGCCTTTTTGGCTGATGAATTGAATCATGTTGCTCGGACTTTTTTCAATCAAGTTCATATCAAAATCATATCAAAGACTAGACTATCGGTAAGTTCTTTTCTGTTCATGTCTAAACCGCATTTAGCTGCGTTTATATTATTTCGTTTTGTTTCGCGTAGATTTTTGAAATTAAAGCTTTGATGATTACTGACGCTTTGTTTCTGAACCTTTTTCTAGTAAGATTCACTTAGTTTCTAACATTTGGTTTTAAAATTGGTTAATTTGTTGTGGTGATATCTCAATGTGCGGTTATATGATGGGTTAAAAAGGGGTTAAAAACCGCCGGTTTCTATGCTTGGGAATCTTCAACTAGATATCGCTTGAAAACAATATCTTATTAAAATATTTTAATTTGACCAAATGGCTTGCCTCAAATCACATTTCAACGCTATCAGACTCTGTTTCGATTTGCTAGAACGAAATATACTGAGCGGTAATTATCTCAAAATGGCAATTTTTTTAAGAAAAAAATTGCAAATGAAATTCTGTTGAAAATTTTAGTGAAATTGCTATTTGACGATTTGAAATCACTCGATCACAAAAGTTCCCTCAATTGTTTGAAAGTGGAAACCACAAACAATGACTCAGGCGCATTATACCACGTACGACTAACTTCGAGGGGTGCAACGAAAAACGAAACTTTTTGGAAAAACCTTCCAAAAAGTGGCCAGTATCTAACAGTGACATATTTGTTTCAACAAATTTGGCCCACTATTTGTTAAGTGCTCGTTTGGTGTGTAGTGTTTTGTCCTGTTGAACCAGTTAAATTTTTAAACGCTTTTAGAATTCAAACGCTGTTCTTTTTTGTGATTAGTGATTCTTTTTTCTAATAAATTATACAGTAATCAAATATCATAACTTGGAAAAATGACCCAAACTTGATGTTTTTTGGCGAACACTACAGCTAGCATCAATAATTTTAATTTTTTCATAAATCAGATAACCTAAATTGAATGGTAACTAATCTGAACTACTTTCATAAACAATGAGTTGCATACTTCGAGAACTCACTTTTCTGTGTCAAAAGACACATCCTCGCGAGGCAGTCCAAATACAATTGCGGCATGAAGTATTCCGAGTTGAAAGTGTGCGGGGGTACAAACACTTCATTCGGGCAGTCGGATCTGTTTCCAGGATACCCTTCATAACTGGATGAAATCGAAGAGTTGGAGTTCATCATTGTCTTTTTTTGAAGTTCATTCAATGATCGTCAAGCCACATTCGAAGAGCATCAGCGATAGCAACCTAACTGGAGTGAAATGATAACGGTAATGTATGGTCACGAGACTCCAATTCAGAACGGTGATAATTTATAGTAAGCGCAGCTTGGCTTCATTGCAAATAAACGATCTGAAACACAAATTTAATCTGGGAGGACGCGAAATGAGTTTTAACTGCCTGTTAAACAGCGTATTCTCTTTAATACCATTTACGATTAATTATTGCAAGTTAAAGTATGATTGAAAAGTGTTATTTTGTTAGTGTTATTGGTTACCAAAAAATTTTAGCACTCGCGAGATTATATAAAAAGCGTTTTCGACTAAAACATTTGTTTTAAACAATAATTTGAGTAAATTTTTATTAGGCGTTACTACAAAAAATCAAAAGACGCTCTAATTGGTTTAAATTGCCCATTAAAAATGTTTTCAATTAACATTGTTACCTTTATTTTGGCCTAAAAAGTGCGTTTAAAGGAAAAAAGAGCACGGAATCATTAAAATTTATTTGATTTATTTCTATTGGCTGCTCAAGCTTCTGATAAAAATTTAATCTGAAAGAAATGAGAAGTCTTCACCTGTTTAAAGTCTTTTTTTTTCAGTTTAATTTTCAAGATAGATTCTGGTTGAATTATTTGTTCGACTAAAATCAACAGCAGCCTAAGTGTACGAAAAGAGGATGCGCCCATTCATCCTGTTGTACTTTAGTTCAAAGATAGATATTAATTTGCAAAAAATTATTCAAAAATTGATAGTTTTCACTACTTGAGATTATTTTTCAATTAACTGACTGAAGTTGAAGCCACACATGCTTTGATTAAAAAAATCCATTTCAAAACATTTTCAGTTGGAGCAACATGAATAATTGAGTGTTCTTACACACATGTCGCGTCTCGTGTTTTTTCCGTCGAGTTAGAATTGTTTTTCTTTAACCAGCCTCTAAAAACTGACAATTGTCATCAATTTCACGGGTTGACCGCCATAGGCAAAAAATGCTAGTCAAACAAATCTATAGTATTTTTCTATGGAAAAATGCTAGTCATACAGTTGCCATACCAGAAAACTAATTGTATTGAGAAAACAAAGAGAAGTTAAGTTAGTTATCAAGCTCGAAAAACAACTCAGTGGTCAAACGGTCATCTCTAAACTTGTTGAAATAGACTAAAATAATTAAAAATAAGAAAAAATCAACTCTGGAAGAAGTCTCATGGTGGTGTCAAAAATCGATTTTTGAGCATAGGGTAAAAATTAGCAAAATCAGGCACGTGTGTTTTTCGCCACGATGAAAAAGTGTTTTCATAAAACATATGATGTGTCTGACCCTATACAAGGTTGGATCTGGATGTCGACCATGATTTCGGCTTGACTTTCAGTGAGAGCGCTTTCTTCATTTTCATTTTGATGGTTTATTTTGGTGTTTTTTGGCAAATTAATACTTGAACAAGTCAATAAGACTAGGAAACTCAGCTTTCTCCTGGGCCGTAAAAATTTTTCCTGCAGAAGTTACAAATTTCTTAGTTTTCTCATGTTTTTCTATAAAGTTCTGAGATTGCGCGACTACAGGTTTGTGTATAGATTTACCTTAGCTCAATTACTTTTTACAAATAGATGGGAAAAAAATTAGCAATGGAAAAATGCGATTCATAGATTTCTCATTTGTGGTCATACAGTTTCATTACGGAAAACGAAAAATGCTAGTCATACAGTTCCAAAGTATGGAAAAAAGTTGGTCATAGAGTTTTTTACACTTTTTTTAACGTACGAACTGTATGGAAATTGTATAAATAGTATTTTTCTCAATCCGGAACATCGAGATACTCTACCGGCAATATGTTTAACAATAATTATACTAAGTAAACGACAAATTTCGGAAAAAGAAAAAAAAACAATCTAAGATAACAAGAAGTGATGATTCTGTAGACAAATTTGTTCACGAGAAAAAAACCTGGTACGCGATTGCTTATTGCAAAGGTAAAAAATAAGATGGATTTTAAGATTTTAGATTGATAGCAATTATCTGAAAATTATAATTAGTTCATCAAACAAAAAATTACAAAATTTTTTATCAAAAATGTTTAAAATCACCGCGAGGTTGTAGTAAGTTGCAGATAATTGATTCATGGTCGATTCTAAGTTGATTAATTTCTAGTGGATGGCGGTATATGATCAGAAAGGTATGATGTAAAATCAAACAACATCTGAAATGCAAACAACGCATTTTTTCGAACATAATTACCATGAATAATTTCAAACATTCCCGATTATATTGCCGATTTCAATTTTAATCTGGCCTGATGGTCTTCAGGTGCATAACGTGTCCATTAACCACAAAGGAGACTTTTTCCAATCAGATGTTTTATTTTCTACAACACTAGGGGAATCAACTTAGTTAGTTTTTAACTTTTTTCAAAGGTCTTCTTTGTGGTTTAAAAACATGCCAACAAAGTGCAAACAATCCATCCCAGGATACCAATTATAAATCAAAACAAAAAACAAGATCAATCAAACCTATTTTCAAATGAGAAAAAAAAATAATTTACAAAATTGCGGTGTTTCCGGGAGAAGTTGGTTGCTCAAGACTTTTAACTACCAAAGCCAACACATTTGTATCGTTTCGCATTGAAAAAAAACTACGTTTTAGGTTGTTTTCAGCAGATTTTTAGGGTGATGATTCAGTTTTTTTTAATTAAAATTTTTTTTTTCATATTTTTACCAGAAATTAAAGTGTTTCCGGGCAACATTAATTTCTAAACATTTTCAACCATCAAAGCTAAGATATTTCTATTTTTTCACAAAAAAAACTGCGTCTTTAGAGTTGGTTGCAACATTTGTTTCATTTAAGGCTAAGTTAATAGTTTCACAATGTAACGACACGCAACAAAAATTTGATTTCAATTCGAAATTTTCAGTTTTTTTAGCACTGATTCGGGGATTTATCATAGATTAGTTATATAAGGTTATCGCTGGGAGTAATAGCCATGAAATAACCCTGAACCATCGCTAAAAATTTCATTAAACTGGGATATGCTTGAGTTAGCCATGAATTTTTCTAAAAAAAACAGATATCTCTGAATCAGCGATAATGTTTCCCGTCAACTAATTCTAAGTTGTTTCCAACTTGGGATGTTATTTGATGACAAACAAAAAAGTCTTATAGAACCCAGTATAAGATGGCCATTAGACAAATTATGCTAATTAAACTTGCTCCATATTCCCATATTCGTATGTTATTTGAAGACAAAGTATAATCTTTAACGAACCTAGTCTGAGATTGCCATTAGACAATTTATGCCTGTTTTCATGCGTCTCTGAGTGTAAAACAACAATTGATAACAGCTTTTCGTGCAGTACCACACGTATCACTTTTACAGATCCTCAGTTTTTGAAATTTAGGTAAAAATTTAGCTTCATCAGGTAAGTTTTTGGGGTAAAAGATTGATTTATGGGACAGTTTTTTGGGTTTTAGAACAATTGAGAATTTATGGTTTTTCAGAGTTGATCACTAATTTGTTTGCCCTTATTCATTATTTGATAACTTAAAAACAAAAATAATCAAATTCGCAATAAAACAAAAGTCATCAAAAATCATCAAATTCACCAAAAAAATGTACAAAAAGTTTTTAGAAATCGGAGGGGTGAAGGTTATTTACATGAAAAAAAAAATTTAAAAAATTTCGTTAAAAGCATACGGATTCAAATTTTCTCCTGAAGGTTAAGTGAAACTCTAGTTAATCGGCCTGAGTGGACACCATATTGAAACACAAGTTTAACCAATGTCAGCAAAAATCTGTTGAGTTCTGTTCATTTAGAAGTTGCAGAATTGATATATCAGTTCATCATTTATTAGCATGTAATCAGCAATATCGACCACTTTTCTATAAAAAAAATGCACTGATTTTATATGGATTGCTTATCGCAATCAAATCTGGTTCCTTTTTTCAAAGAACTAATAGAATCAACTATGATTAAAAGTTCCAGAAATCGGCCAAGGAAATGTGTCTCTAGAATTAAAGTGAATAATTGACACCTCCGTCCCATCACAATTAGCTCTTGTATTTTTTATTCTAGCGATATCTGTTGTCATAACTGAGCAATCTGAAGCAAGATTTGAAGAGGTGCTAACTTTTTACTATTTTTTTTTTTTCATTTTCAATTTAAAAACTATCAAAACTTTTTTAAAGAAAAATTTGGCATATGAAGAAGACTCTGAAGCATAAAAAATCCATTTGGCAGCTAAAATGATTAAAAGAAAAAGATATGACCGCCCCTCCCCTTCTTATTTGAAGACACTTTCATATTTTCTTGAAAAGTTGCAAGAATGAATTCATAATACCTACAATGGTGATCAACTTAGAGTAAAATTTAATTGAGAAGATTATTCCCTCAACAAACTTATTGTATCATACTCTGGAAATCGAAAAAACTCAGATTAGTTTTCTCAAAACAGAGAGAATATTTCACCACAGAAAATTTTGGATCCAAAATAGGACCAAAAATATTTTCGCATGATACTAAATTTGACAGCAAAAACATTCTCAAAAATAATTAAGAAACACGGGCCAATCAAAAGCAAATCACAGACAGGAAGAGTTCTCTCGAAAAATCATCAATCGACCGAAACCCACAATGGACTCTCCAGTAGAATAGTCGAATTGACAAGCATGTCTACAAATGGCGTTATTCATCAGGAGAGACTGGACATACAGCAGCTCTTGCAAAATCTTCTAACGACGCCACTGACTTCGAATCATTGGTCAGCTTAACCTTATCCATCAAGTCAGGAGGATGCACAGTCCAATCAACATCATTCATAGTACTGGATGAACACAAACCGATCATCGAAGAACAAAACAATCTACCAGAACTTGAGATAAAACAACAACAAAAAAACCAGGAAACCAAATGATATTAAAATTGATCTTGATATTAAGAACAACTCTGACTTATCTATTACAAATTTAGTAAAGACTAAAAATAAAGAAAGCTTATCTTCAAAATTCGGAAAATCGAAAAACGTTACGATGAAAACAATTCATCGCCTTACAGTTATCTTTCAATTTTTGACGCCTCAGTAACATCGTAAAGACCTCTACTGGAAATTAGTGGTATGAAAAAAAATCATCAATTTCGTAACAGACATTACAGATTACGGAGGTTTCGTCCAAAACAAAGAAAATAGAGTGTTATACAACGCTTTAAACGCTGGGTTAGAAGCAGCTCTGCAGCAATAACCCTTAGAGAAATTGGTATTTTTTGTACGTGTCAAGAACCTTGAATTCGTACAAGTAAAAATACTCTACAAGCGAATTAGATTTTTTAACAG